AATACCACCGAGTGTGCCCGAACGCGATGAGTGCCACAAAGTACCCAGCCCATACCTTTTGGACGCGGGTCGTTAACTTTACAACGTAAAGCGTTAGCGTGTACATTCACAAAGTTCGAATAGGCGGCTGTAAAAAAGAGCCTTACAAAGACAATACTGCATGCCGCGCAAAGTCACCCCGCCCGTCAACCGCCCCGCCCCGCCCCGCCCGGTCGCGCCGCCTGCCTGCCATGCCACCCCCCGCGGGCGTCCCTGCCGTAAAGAGCGAAAGTAGTATAAACCGCTAGGAGCACGGCATGGAGTGGAATGGAGCTCCGAGCGCGCGAGAGCGCGCAAAAGAGTTTTCGGAATGCCATCACGGACATTGACGGTCCATGCGGCGAGAGTCGTGGGCAGCAGGGCGCGACAAGCAGTACCCCGCACATGTCGCATTTGAAGAAGTGTGCTGCACCAAGACAAATGACATTCACAAATGTGCAGCACCGAGAGTTATGGCCGCAGGTGGTCGGCCAGGAAAGAGCGCCACCTCGCCGCAGCAAATCTCCCACTAGAAAAATTCTTTGTCATTTTGACAATACCTTAGCTTCATTATTGTTACTATTATTTTTTAGTACATGTTATTGTGATCAAAATGACAAAGGATAGCGCCCTGTTCCGTCAGCGGCGGCCACCGCGCGTAAACCTAACCACGGCGGACCAGGGGGCAACAGCCTTTATAGTAACAGAAAACATTTTTCCTGTGAAGTTCTAGTTGAATGCGGTAAATTTCCCAGTTCGTCCTGCTGCGCATGCGCGCAATACCACATGCTGACAACTTTGCTGCGCATGCGTGCAATATCACATGCTGACAACTTTGCTGCGCATGCGTGCAATATCAAATGCTTACAACTTTTCCGTCTTTATACTTTTCTCTCGACTTTTCGTTTCGCTCTATGACGCAGAGGCCTTCTTACTAAATATTGCAATAAGGCATGCAGTTGATTCCCGATTAGTTTGCTTTCATAATCACTGTAGATATGGTCATGGGTGCTCTGAAAATCCACAGTGTGCTTTAACATGCAGTCCAATCAGCATGCAAAGGAGCAAACTTTTCTCGAACAGTGTTTAAACAGTCAAGCACGCTGATAGAACAGCACGCGCCTCATGCAAACCAGGCACACTGTTTAAACAGCGCAGCGTGCCCGCCCAAGCGCACAGTTTAAACATCCCACTTAAAACATTGTGTGCTTCCAGGCATGCTGATTAAACGGTATATTTGCGCAGCGAATCGTTAGTTTCTCAGTATGTCCCAGACAATTCAACATAAAAATAAACAGAAGACACGGGAGGCGGGAAAAGTGTCCCGTAAAGAATGTTTTCCCAAAAAATACGAACCAGGAACTTCACGACGGTGCAAAAATGTTCACCGTGTGCGAGTCGGCACCGCGATGCACCGTTCTCTCGCCAAAGGGGGGTGCCAGGTACCCTGCACGGCTCTTTTGGCCCACTGCACTTGACATTACGCCGATCCGTCCCCGTGGCCCGCGGCGCGCCCCGCGGCGTCAGATATGACTCACTTTCCAGTCGCTTGTCTGGGGGCAAGTGCAGCAGGGGGCAGGGCCCGGGCGGGGCATCTGTTATTCATGAGTGTCTAGGCCTCCCCGCGCCGCACCGCGCCGGCCCCGCCCGGCTCGACGTGTTAGAGTGTGTGAACGTGTTTGTGTGGAAAGTGGGTCACTGACGCTACCGCCTTGGTCCGCCTCGGGGCCCTCCTTCTCCTCCTCGCCGGCTTCCTCTCGTCTCGGTGTCGTGTGTACAAGGCGCGCGCACACACACACGTGCGCGCACACGCGCGCACACACATACGACAGGTATTTTTAAAACGGGCGTGTCTCGGAGAGACAGGGCGCACTTGCGCGCGCATACCCAACGGAGAAATGAAAAGAAAGAGAAAAGAAAAGAAACAAGTTGAAATAAAATCGTTTTGAGGCAAGGCGCCGCCGTCCGGGGACACGACTGAAGTGAGCGACGCGCCAGCGAGGCGCAGTACTAGGGGATTCCTGAAACTCTTTCGAGTGGGCCAAAAACCGGCCAGCAACACCACGGTCGCAGACTACCTTCTCTTCCCACGAGGAGAACACACCTGCGGTAGTGGCAGTAATTAATATCAGCCTGCACACAGGGCGCCGGCCACACACACTGAAAGAAAAGGTTTCTGAAAAGTCGAAACGCATTTTTCATCCTTTTCAGGTTTACAACCGATTTGGAAATTTTCCGATTGCGTTGTCAACAAATACTGTTAAAAATAAAATCACCCTTATAATTTTTAAGTTACGGATTTGTTAGTTGGCAGCTGCTTCTCAACTTTTGAAACGGAAAGTAGACGCGTACATTTGTTAGTTTCACAGGTTTCACAGTGTTGGATGAACGTGGAGCTCGCGTGTCAGCGGACGGGTTCCTTTTCGAGGCAGTGTTCACTGTTCTGGTGCAGGTGGTCCCCTTTCCCAAAGCCTTCCGCGGGCGGGGCAGGCCGAGCAGCCAGCCAGGCAGCCGGGCCCCGGGGCGCGGCGAGGCGAGATCTCAACAGGTCTCAGCGAAAGTAAGATCGGGCAGCCACGCCCCGCCACCAGCCGGACCGCTCTGACGTCAGGCTGTTCGCACCGCCCGAAAAGTAAGGAGAAGCGGAGCGAGAGAGGGAGAGAGAGAAAGAGAGAGGAGGGGAGAGAGTGTAAAATGAAGGGTTAAATAGAAAGAGAGCGGGGCGTAAATGCTTGATTGAGACGTCGACTCATTAACAGTGAACAAATTAACACGTTAGACAAGCACGTGCACGAGCAGGAGAAGATGCAGGAGAGAGAGAGAGAGAGAGAGAGAGAGAGAGAGAGAGAGAGAGAGAGAGAGAGAAAGAGAGAGAGCGAGAGCATGAGCAGCGTGGGGTCCAGCAGGGTGGTGCAAGCAGGATGGAGAGGCCAATCATCTGGTCAGTGACGCCCCACCCTGCCCCGCCCCGGACCGCGTGGCTCCGCGGAGGTCTTTGGCTCCGGCGGCCGGTGCGACGGCGGCGGCGGCGGGAGGGGGCACTCAGTCACTGGGTTTAGTGAGTGGGCTGCTGGTCCGGGAGAAAGTAGAATGGGTGACTGGCCCCGCCCCGCCCCGGCGAGCCGCCCGAGTGGATGCACCGGCTGTAACCCGGGTGCGTGGGGCGTCCGTCCGCCTCCCATGAGGTGGGGCGTTTGCTCCGGGAATGCCAAGGACGACGCGAGGGTCAAAGACAACCGACAGGTGGGCGCGCTGGGAACATATTTATTACTGGCAGTAATTGTTTACAATCCATCACCACGCCGATGATGAGCGTGGTAAGTTAAAAGAAGTGCTAGTTCTTAGGATTCCCACAGTTAGGTTACAGTTTAGACCCCGCGATATTCGAAATTCGTGCCGAGTCTAACAACTATGTGTAGACCAAGGAAAACTCCTTGGACTTTAAGCAATGAAACAGTTGACCGACGGGGACACGACTCGAACAATCACGTGTTCACACCCCGAAACCCTGGCGCAATCATCCTGCCTGCAATCATCGCCTCCATTATCCTCTCACTGCCGCCGGGGGCCCGACCGGCGGCCGGGCCGGGCGCCGGGAGGGCAGGCAACCGTCAGGCACGAGAGTGCAGCGGGCCAGTCGACCCCAGAGCCCGCTAGGCGCTGAAGGGAAGGGAGACCGACGACGCGAGGCTGGATTATAGGGATTTTAGTTTTAGAGAAGGGTATAAGAAGGAAGGAAATTTTTAAAAGATACTTTTTCAAAGTGTTCGATTTTTTCTCAATTTTTAATTTTTTTCCCAAAATTTTGCAGGGAAGGTTAAATTTTTCCAGAAAAAACTTCGGACTTTACAATTCCTAGGCTTGCCCGCATCCGCGCGCACCGCGCACCTCTGCCAGTCGCCGTCACTATGGCAGTTATTCCGTTCCGCACAGCAGCGATGCGATATACCACAACCGAAAGTGGTCGGTCAAAAGGCAGTCGTCAGAGAGTGCCGTCCCGTCGCCCCCAGCCCGGCCCGATGGCCACCTGCCCGTGACCAGCGCCGCCGCCGCCGCCGCGTCCAACCGGCCGTGACCGTGAAGGTCACGACGTCCAAGGGCTCCGACCGGACACAACGGATCCCAAGGTCCGAGGAGCGGCCCTGCGCCGGCCGACCTGCCCCGGGGCGAGCGGCGCGCGACGGAGCCGGCCAGCCAGGGATAGTTTTATGAAAAGTAAAATGAAGCAGGCGCGGGCTTTGACTGGTCGGCCGGGGGGCCGGAGAAAGGGGGCCTCTGTCACTGACGAGTCGTGTCGATACGACCGGCAGGCACCGCGTCGCATCGCCCGGCGGCATCGCAGCCGGTGAAAAGCAGCGCAGCAGCAGCAGCAGCAGGGACTTTGACGCTCAGAGAAAGGCGACAGGACGACGGGGATCTAGTTCAGAGAGATAGACGCGCGCGCGCATGGCGGCGACGGCATGGCATGCGAAGCAGCGGGGGAGCTCAAATAAAATATAATTTTGAAGGATATGTACAAGGAAAAAAAAAAGGTGAAGGGAAGTCGAGCAATAATAACAAACAGCAGGTGGTGGTGAAGGGGACAAGAAGCATGACGCAATGGCCTAACGGTGTAACGATCGACCGACGAAGGGAAAAAAAAGAGGAAAGAAGAAGTTGCGCGGCCATCCGGAGTAAGGGCAAGGCCAAGGAGAAAGAGGGGGAGGAAGGGACGAGGGAAGCAACTAGGGGGAACGAAACTGGGGCTGAGTGATAAACAAAAGTGCGTGGCATATTCTGACATGCGCTGTACGCAGTGAATGCATGCCATATGTCACACACCGCACTTTCGTTAAAAACATTCCTTGATGCGTATGCTCCACGCGAAGAGACAACGGCACACCAGGACATCGAGAAACTTGACACGCATGTCACGTGTTTTTCCCAGTTTCCAGAAAGAGTTTCGTATCGGCACGTGCGTTGAAGTCTCTGAGAACGCTTACCTGTAGGTTTAGGACGAGAAACGCGGCTGAGATGACTAAGAGCCGCGCCCTCCTCATTGTGGAAGCCTGGAAGAGGAAAGAAGACCAGGATTACAAAACAGCGAGAACAGGGCTTACATTGCGAGTAACATGCTATGGTGCAAAAAAAGTGAGGGTGCACATCTGTCAACTATTAAACGTACTAAGAGAACTCAATCATCAGGTATGTGAACACAGATTGAAGTATTGCACCATGTTGAATACAAAGGTTTTCTCAAGACGGTGCAACAAGAAACGGTACCGTTGTTTTAATGGAGTAAAATTTGATAGGATTTCCCCTTGACTCAATTGAATTTCATAAATCAAGGAAGAAAATCCCATAGGATAAAAAGACTTGCTTAAAGTAGCGTAAAAATTCTATAATGCTTCTAAATTAAATTTTCCACAAACAGTTGCCCCCAGTTGAATGAATAAGCCCACTTGTATGCCATTGTTTAAGACCTTTTAGAAACCGACCAACCAAAAGTAATGAATGAAAATTTAAAGACAAGTTACCCGAATGGTAGATGAATAACAATCAACAAGCAACAACTTCGTCTCCGATGAAGACAGGACGATAGGGAGAAAGAATGGAGAAGCCCAACCTTGCTCCGAGTCAAATGAAAACACATTGGGGAGCAGGTGCCGGACAGAACGGATCGCCGGCCGCAGGGCCGGGGAGCGGTGCCGCGAGCCGTGGCGTGGAGTGGGGAGGGCCCCGGACCACCTTGACATTGTGAGTCGGGTGGGGGAGAGAAAGGAGAAAGGGAGAGGAGTGGGGGGAAATGGGGGGGGGGGGGGCGCCGCCCGAGGCTCGACCCGGGCATGATCACCGGCCTTTGTTGCATCACGCGGAGCCGCTCTCTGCCTCTAATTATCCCCTTCCCCCTCTCCTTCTCTCTCCCCCTCTCTCTCTCTCGTTTTATTTAATTCGACATTGTCTCGTTTGTCGCCACGATAGCAGAGCCACAAGTTACGCAGACGGATCAGTCTGCTTATTCCCTGGTAGAAGTCAATGTGTAGGAGTTCGCCGCCCAGTTCGCGCCATGGCATCCAGGAATCTCCTGTGCTCGGATTCCATACTTGCTCATTTAGTTTTATCGGTTAGTGCCGAGACGTTGTAGTATTATGAAGTATGACACCTTTGGGATGCACTCTACACATGAAAGGAGAATTTTGTATTGAGCGGAGATGTGTTCCTAAGCACATATCAATTTGATGCAAATTTGTATCAAAAAAGTTTCAAGCTAGCTTAAGTACAAATACAATTTTTTGGCTCTGGTTTGGAGGCAAACTTGCATTCGATTAAGATGTGCTGAAGAACATATCCTAGCTGGATACACGAGGGGTCTGCAATTCGTATAATCAAAAGTACACGACCCTATAATCACTTATAATCACGTCTATAATCCATAATCTTTTATAATCATTATCTATAATCTATAATCATTC